CGCCAAAAACGATTTCGTGCTAAAAAATAAGCATTCAGTAATAGATCAACTCAAAGTAGCTTTCATCAACCACGAACTAGTGCTGAACGTCAAACCTTATACCAAGCAAATAAGAAATTACGACAAAAAAATACAGAAACTCAAGAAGAAGAGTTTACACAAGCCCAAGAAGAGCAATATGTATAACCTCTCATTGAAGAATGCTAAAATGTTGCAAATAAAAAAGATACTTCACATTCAAAAGGATATCAAATTATATTTTACCTATTCCTGATCCATTTATAAATTATTAGACTAACAAAAATATTAAAATTATAAAATAAAATAATTATTCCCATCATGCGTTAAACAAGTTCAATATTTTATGGTTTTATTAAATATATGAAGTTTTCAATTCTGTCGAGCGTCCCGTGACGCACACCATTTTTTTAAATTTAAGAACCGCTAGAAACTAGTCTTTTGCACTTACATTGCAGTTTTTACGGTCGGTCAAAATATTAAAAAGTTTTCTGGATCTATACACCTGATAAATATATGTTTTTTTGCTTCATGAATGTGAACCTTCACGGCTAATTACATTAAAATATAGGTATAAATGTATTAATTTTAACAATTTGTTCAAAAAAGTTAGACTTTCGCCGCCGTTACGTGTAACTATCGAGTTTTACAGGCTTTTACCGAATAGTAACTAAGTTTTAGCCTATTAGTCTTTGCTTTCACGTTGTCGAGGAACACAATTTCTTCCTGGCATTTTGCCAGCACGAATTGCAGCGGTTGTTCAAAAGGATGCTTAGGAAGATGTTCCCACAAAAACCATTTAAGCAGAGATAAATCTGGGGATCCTACAGGTCATTTAATTTCATCTAATACACTAGCATTTAGAAATGATGATGCATGTTAATGCATACTGCGTTGAAGCGATTACCTCTTGCTAAAATGTCGGATTTTTCTGACGGCTTCGTCTGTTACTTATCTATCTAATCTATCTAAATTACTATCACCGTTTAAATTTATGTGTAAGAAAAATGACCGAATAATTTGATCGCCTGGGTTACGACTTTTAAAAAGCAGACCCGAACCTTATTCAATACTTTTCGGTGGGCCACCCTATATATTATAAACTACGAAAATATGCGTAAAAACTGTTACAAAACATACAAATTTACGAAAACAATGCATGCAATTAATTTTTATTCCAAAAATATCAAACAGTTTTAAATGCACTGCGTTATAAATTAGTCTCAAAGAAATCATATTCTTGAACAGCATTAAAGTTATAGGATAAACAAAAAATAAATGATCATATTATACAGGGTGTTTAAGTACTGTCATGTTTGCTTAGTCAAAGTTTAAATATTTCTGTGAGCAATAAGATATAGCCCAGAGAGAAAAAAATGTATAGGATGTTTTAACCTCTGTTCTCTGAGCAATTCGGATCTCTAATCGTCTATCCATCCTAAGTAATTCGAAAGATGCTTATTTTTTTATAACCAGTCACGTTTTCCGCGCAAAATGTATTTATTTTTCTTTACTTTTATGCGTCTCGAATGGCTCGTAGCACCCTGTCTGAAAAAACATGTAACTACTTGAACACTCTATACAATATGTGCATTACACGTATATTCATCTGCCTTATCTTAATTTTGTACAAAAATAGAGTTAAGACTCGATAAAATTGAAGTATTGAAAATAAGAATTGAAGAAAATATGGAGGCAAAGAAGAAAACAATAGAAACCTGAGTATTGGGAAAACACTCGAGTGTTGTATTTATATTTCTAGGAAGCTACCTGATACTGAGACTTCCGCAGCAGAAAAAAATATTTCAAGTAGTGAGCCCCTTGCTGCTTCCTACTTATCCGTCCTGTAAGCTGTTCTTATCCATTTATCAGTACAATATGGTGGGAGGAGAAATTCGGGTGATAGGTGATAAAACCACCGCATCATCTATACATAAACTATCAAGTAGACCTATGTCGATCTATAATAACCACACGCAATGGGTCGTTCGTACCATCCATGGGAATAATTACACCCGGTAATATGATCAGTTTAAAAAAATATCTAACAATTTATTAAATTGTCATTTCTTCTTCTAGTTGGCTACCTTATCAAATAACCATTGGAAAATTAACAACATCGTTCACTATTATTTTGGAAGTAGTTGGAGCGAAACATATTCTTTCTGGAGCCACAGTTGCCTTCGACAACATTGAGTTACATGATTGTTTTTTTCAAAACGAATCGTGTTCACCACATCAACACATTTGCAGCGATATCGATTTGTGTATCAATTCGACCAGTACATGCGATTTTAATGAAGATTGTCCAGAAGGGGATGATGAAAGATTAAATTGCGGTACGTACTTATATGCATATAAATATAGGTATAGTAAATGGTGTAATGAACAGCCAATTAATATAGCCATTTTAAACTAACTCTTAGCAAATATTTTTGATGTGATAACTCTCTATTCTGTGGCGTCCCTATTCCTGTGGCGTGTTGGCGCAACATGGATAATATTTTGCATCGAATACGTCGATGATAATATTTTCGTCTTTCAACATAAATTCACTCGCAAAAGTGTAGGTAAAAAACTGTGCTGGGCGTTATTATTTATACAGGGTGTTCCAAAAAAACATCCCTCTCGGAATAAAAACGATCAACTTGAAATAGTGCGAAAAGTTCATATAATGTCTACAGAAGCTACGAGAGTTGATGCATCTTTTAGAAGCACCCTGAATAATATGAATACATTATTGTTTATGTATCTCTTAGATAAAATGCCATACGGAGCCCGATGTACATTTGAAAATGACGACTGGTGTGGCTGGAAAAATCTTCCAGAAGCCGACATGCATTGGAGATTGCATAAAGGATCGACTCCGTTAAATTTCACGGGTCCGAATTTCGATCACACTTATCTCAACTCCACTGGAAGTTATTTATATGTGAATATGCTTCATGACCCGTCGTTTTTTGGCAGTCAGGCGATTTTACGGAGCGTTACATTCAACGCACCACCTGGTGTAACTGGTGATCCATCATCCCGATACTACAACACATGTGCTGTACGTATCTCTATTATTCTGAGAACTAAACATTGCTTGAAATATACGAAAGAGTCTCAATTATGAAAACAGGAAATGGTTCCTGTGTCATTAATTTTTGAGACATAGCTTCCGTATATTTAGTGCCATATTCTCATAATAAGTGTGCCTCGATTTTTTTTTTCCATAGATAAGGGTGTATCTACATAAAACCGGCAAGCACAAGAGTGGAGTTGAAATTCAGATTACTGAACTCAAAAGCAAAAAGAATCTAACCACAAGTCTATTTTGGAGTTTTATGGAAGATCATGGAGACCAGTGGATGAGACAGGTGTTCATTTTACCCAACATCACAAATAGGTAAACTTGGCTGAGACAATAAACTGAATGAAATCTCATTCTATTCAATTTGTAGATATTTCGTAGAAATCATTGCGAAAAGAGGCTACCGATTTCTGAGCGACATTGGTCTGGATGATGTTTCACTTAGTCCTGAATGCTTTGGCATCAATATTCCCAAGGAAGACTTAAGAGGCTATGATTACTGGAGTAAAAGCTGGCTGAAAGGAAGCGTTAAACAAACTGCCGAGGATTTCAGAAACAAGACATGTACGAATCTTCAATAATTATCATCGTAGGTATATAATAAAACTAACAATTTTTGTAGATTTCAATATCACCACTTGTAACAATGAGGGCCGATATGGACCGTCCCCTGAGCAATGCGCAAAAGCCTACAATAGAACTGGAACCAACGTAAAAGTTCTTCTGGATGTCGGGATGAGGGGGACTCAAAAGTGGGTTGCACCTAGAGAGGGTTACTACACGTACGTAACATTTCACCATTTTAAGTGTCTTGAATTAAAATGTCCGCATAATATATATAAGAGTTTGGTACCACAAGTACCTTCTTTCCAATAGACTAGAAGGTTCGAAAAATTAATAAAGTGGGGTGATTACACAATGATGATTCGCGGGTTTAAAAACTCTGTTCATAAGCAATGTGTGCTTATAGACAATCAAGCGGAAGTTAACGTTTTAGGTTTATTTTGGCTGGGGCGAGTGGTGGAAAGAACAGCAGAGGAATTGGAGGCGGAAAAGGAGCTGAAGTAACCGCAGTTATGAATTTACGCAAGGGTCAAGAACTCTTTATCTCCGTAGGCCAAGAAGGAAATAGCGCTTGCTTAATGGTAAGCCGCCAAGGGAAGGGGGAAAAACCATAAATACTAACTCATTTTTCAACGTTTGATTTAGACAAATGGACTTTCCTACAAAAATCGCTGCGACCCAATAGATAATCTAGGAACTCTGGATAAATTATATTTGGTTTATACGCGAAACATTATCACGTCGAAGAACTTCAGTAATGCGGGTGGAGGTGGCGGTGCCACTTACATTTTTATGGTAAGTATACAGAGTTATTCACTGTAAGGGTTCTCTGTTAGAAGGCGAAGATTTATTCTCAAATGTTAGTTATTTACAATGATGATTTCGTGGACCTATTGGCTTTATGCTAAACAACAAAATAATTATACTGTCTCAACAACGGAATAAGACATGACATTATTGAACAACAAACTATAATCCATCAAATTTAGGGTGTGTAAAAAATACTCCTCAACTAGTGCTTGCTTCGGAAAGGCGCCTCGGTCTTGGTATAAGAAACGACAGAGCAGACAGACTCATATAATTCTGCACAGATTAAACAGCATCCCAGAAGACCGAGAGGGAAGAATTGTGAGGAATCAAATTGGTTTCATTCCACTCGATCTAAAGTTGAAGAAATATATGAAATCCAACTCACCCTGGAGCAGACAATTATAGACCGATTACAATCCTGCGAGAATGGGCAAGAGACTCAAAAGAATGCGGAAAAATAAACATCGCACAACTGAAACGCCCCATAAGAAAAAGGAAATAATTCTTAAGATCGAGAAGGAAATTGAAACAATAATACAGAAAACACATAATTCAGACGATAAAGGAACATGAAACGCTTTAAAAACGAAAATAATAAAAAACTCAAGAATAAGACATCGGATATGTAGAAAATATCTGCAAAACGAAAAATAAAGCTTTTTTTTCGTTCGAAAAAATGTCGCCTTTAGAAAATGTAAAATAAACCCAATAGAATACAAACAACTCAATAAAATCCTCAGGAGAAGTGCAAAGAATCCAAGGAAAATTGGATGTTAGCAAAATGCCGAAACATTGAACAATTTCAAGAAAAATACACTTTCAATGCCAATGATTACATTTCAAGAAACAATAATAACGAAACATTTCGAGGGACTGAAGACAAACTTGCGAGATGAAAAGAATACATCCAAACACTTTTCGACGATGATAGAACTTGTGCTCCAGCACCCACAGACGAAGAAATCAACGAAAAAGACCCAGAAATAATCAAAGAAGTTATTCACGCAATAAATACACAAAAAAACGAAAGTCTACCGGTCTTGACAAAATCAACGTTGAAATATTTAAATTAATCGCAGAAGGCGAAAGCAAAAGCCTAGACTTGATAAGTCAATGTGATTATTACCGGATAATAAGTGTGATGTCTCATATCGTTAAAACTCTTCTCAGAATCATCCGTAGACGGATATACAATTAGTGCGAATATCAGATGGACAATACTCAATATAGAAATAAAAAAGAGCAAACAACATGGGAAGATACGTAGATTAAACGAGAAGTGCGCAGGGTTGAGTTCTGTCTCCGCTCGTTTTTAAATTGTACTTCATACTAGCGAGCAGATAAATAAATAACATCAGCTATGCTGACGACACGGTTCTAATAGCAAACAACGTAAAATATCTTTAAAATATATCATACATGGATCAGACCTTAACATAAGGCAGGATTGAAAAGGTCATTTGTTACTCTACGGGTGCGAAAGCTGGATAATAGACTCACAAACAGAGAAAGGAAAGGACAGTTTTGAACTAAGCATATTTAAACGAATGCTACGAATTTCAGCGGTACAAAGGGTTCACTAACGATGAAGTACTCCAACGTATGAGCAAACAAGAGGAACTGATAAACACCATCAAGGAGCGTAAAATTCAATACTTGAGTCATGTGCTGAGAGGAGAAAAATACGAGTTACTTAGACTCTTGATAGAGGGTAAAGTACAGCGTAAAAAATCAGCAGGAAGATGCCAGAATTCATTGCTGCAAGATCTGATAAGCTGGTTTGACCGTTCATGTAACGGAATATTTCGTACGGTAGTTTGCAAAGCTACAACAAAGCTACACCTTGTGGATCGCCATCCTTCGGAAAGAGATTGCGCACATAATAAGGAACAAGACGCGCTCCTGCTGGCAGTACATAATGCCCAACAGTTCTGAGTACACAATAAGCTGGATGCTCTATCCATTTCATTTCAAGATTCTGACTACCGTACCTCTAGTAGTTTGCTCAAACATGCAACAAAAACTGACCATGAATGACTTTGTATAAGTTAACATTTAACTGAGTTCAGAACATAAATCATCTTTGTTGATATTTCAGCGCAACCGAACTAAACATAGCATACCCATAGCAATAGCTGGAGGTGGTGGTGGAGAGAGTTTCTCTAAGTCATTTGATCCCTTCTCCGACTCACGTCATGGTCAAGGTCTAACTAGGGACAGTTATGATTACCCTACATCGGTGGGCTACAGGTACGGATGCTTTGAAAATTGCAAATTCAGTAAAGTTTTAGTAATACAACATATCTGATATTATTACAGCATTGAAGGTGCTGGTGGCGGATGGGCAATTTCTCCAAACGCTTCAGGACATGCCTCAAGAGCCTTAACAAGAAACAAAACGTCCGTCGATCTACAAACTGGCGGAAGTTTGCTATTGGGAGGAGTTGGAGGGAGTGCTTGTTCAAAATCTTCGAAAAATTGGGGAGATGGTGGGTTTGGAGGCGGAGGCGGGAGCTGCATAGAAGGCGGAGGTATTATTCAGATTAAAAAAACAAAATTCAACAGACAAAAATTTGATCTCCAAATAGGTAGTCTAATTTAAACAACTCTAGTTTTTTAGTTGTACAAATGTAACTTTCTCTAGTTGGGCTCACAGGTATTTAAGCCGAATCCAACCTGCTCTAATGTCTATTTAAAGGTGGTGGTGGATATTATGGAGGCGAAGTAGTTACGTCAAGAGGGAGCGAGGGTGGCACTTCCTATGTGGACATGGTTCGGACAGAAGGAAGTTTTGCTACATCCTCGCCGGGGCAAAATCAAGGTGCTGGCTACGTAATGATAATTCCAGCAATCGAAGGGTGTGATTGCGATTATCAATGTGTGGCACTGGACAGCAATCGATCGGAGACCGCTTGCGTTTGTCCTAAGACTTGGAAACTGCATGAAAACAAGAAATCTTGCCTACGTAAGTTTCAAAGATTAATTTATTTCAGTTACATTATTTATCAGCTTTTTTCTTCCACTGCAGCTCTAACTATAAGTTTGAGCAGTGGATTTGCTCCCATATCTATAATATCCATGGCCGCAGTAACAATATTCGCGTTTTTCGTCGGTTTTGCCTGCTTCCTTCTGTGTAAGTAATATATAATGGTCGAATTGTGTTTCCCGTTTTCATGTTGAACACGAATTTTAGATATTAGGTATCAGAAGAACGCAAATTCCTGCCTTCGTGGGAAAAACTGTGCAGTGTCTGATGTCCAACTCAATCGACTTCGGCATGCTTCCGGTAGCGTTGCTACTCAGTATAATCCGAATTATGAATTTGGAGGTGTTGTGACGACGATTTCGGATTTACAGCACATCCCACGAGACCAGCTGAGACTAGTCAAGTAAGTTCTAAAAGTCTATATTGTCCACATTCGCGAGCGTCTCACTTTTATCTTACAACTGTTTATTAGCTATTTGACTGATTCACAAGTTAAAACACCAATTAAAACTCTTGCAAAACTCCATGTAGGTAGAGGGCGATGAGACATTCTGAGTTCTGAGTTAGTTAAAAAATATGGTTTAAATACAGACTTCTAAAGTTCTTTTCAGACTTAGGCTGAACTGGGAATTTCTTTCAGATAATGCAATGGAGACACGATCTCTTGATAAGATTTGTGGCGGCATTGCTCGTAATTGACCGAATAAAATTGCTAGCTTTAGGTACACTAGATTGTTATGTAAAATAATCTTTCTCATCCATTTTTTTTCTTTAAACCGTTTTAATTTTTAGGTATTGCAGTATCAGTCTGTTCACCAGTATTTTTCACTTTCGTTTTTCTTTTGCAAGCAAAATTAATTTTGGTGGGGACTGATGATTGCCGGTTTTGCTATGTATGGAGTTTTCGCGACTACTTTGTGAATATTAGAATTGTTACATTTGTTACTTCAATCTGATTCGTGCTATTAGTTTCGGTCGTTCTTCGAAACTGAAATTCGAAAAGAAACCTCATCAGATTTCAAGACGAGTTTCTCCTTTTCATCACTATTTATTACTAATTATTAGTTGATCCATCCATCCATGACCACAGAACACGGAATTTAATGTTTAATTTTACATGAGTTTTAAACAATGGCCGAGCGTGGTTTAATTATTTGGGAGTAGACAATCTAAGAAAATATGCGGAGTTAAAACATTTTTTGAGCGTCACGCGTAATAATGGAACAAATTAAAAGACCCTAGCGAAGAATGAAATTTTCCGCTTTTTCCGTAAGTTGGGAAATCAAAATATTGTTATTGGATGGGGGATGTTCTGTGCGCCTGACTAAACAAACCGAAACCACGATAAAATAATGCCGTGCACGTACAAAGTGGGCAGAACGAACAGCTGAAAAAAATGAAATTCTCAGGAAATTTGGTCCACGTATCAAATTTACTAGCGTTTCACTGAAAGACTCGTTCATCAATATTTTTTTACTTCTCGTATTTGCGTTTTTGATGAATTGTTTTTGTAATGAATAGGTACTAATGTGAATCATAAAAAACCCGCACTGGTTTTATCACGAAACTGCTTAATTTATTGCAGAACTGCTCAACTTGCTTTCACATGATTTTTGAGTCTCCACAGTTTAAAATTTAAAACGTTCAGGTTAAACGGTTCACCGTTAAAAGAACGTTTGATTTAAAACACTTTAAAATTCAACATAATATTTGTTGACTTAATAAATTAAGTAAATTCTAAGACATTTTCGGAAATTGCAGAGCTTTAGGACAAGGAGCTTTTGGTGAAGTATATCAAGGCTTTTACCGTCAGCGCCCTTGTGATACAGTGGAAATGCCTGTGGCGGTAAAAACCTTACAGGAAATGACGGTGAAACAAGCTGAAGACGATTTCTTAACCGAAGCTTTGATCATGTCTAAGTTCAACCACCCAAATATCGTCCACTTCATCGGCGTCTGCTTCGATAAGCACCCCAAGTTCATCGTGTTGGAGCTGTTAACTGGCGGAGACCTGAAGAATTTCTTGAGAGAATCGCGCCCGAAAGCGGTAAAAGCATGTCTTAGTTAATTATAAAGGACTCAATTTCCTAATTATTATGTAATTACAGGACCGACCCAGCACTATTACAATGAAGGATCTGGTCTTTATAGCTATAGATATTGGGAGAGGCTGCAAGTATCTGGAAGATAAGAGATTCATTCATAGGGATATCGCGGCGAGAAATTGCTTGCTAACTACAAAGGGACCGGGAAGAGTTACGAAAATTGCTGATTTTGGCATGTCCCGAGATATTTACAGGTAAATGGGGCTAATGTAAAGTTTAGGTACTACAAGTACGATCAACTGGAAATAGAGTGAAAAGTGTTTAATAGAGGTTCTTAGATCAGAGGCTTCAAGTCCTTAATATCTTAGTAGCCGTCTCATCTAGCTCTTTTCTGAGATGTATTAACAAAGAAATATGTCAGAAATAGCCGATTGGAAAGAACTTTTGAATCGGTTGTTAGTATGAAGAAAAGCTGTATTCAATTTTCCAAAACATTTCTTTATCATTTTAAGCTTAATGAGAAATTGGCTGCCTCCAACCGAATTAGCCAGGAAGCAGTTTTCCGAGATTTTAACTGATTATACCCGAATTGCAAAATTTCTTGTATTTGTTGTAGGTTGATTATTGAATTTCAAATTGATTTAGAAATGATCTGAATATCTTTGGAAAAATGCATCTTCTTGTAATTATACTTTGGGGATATTTCACCGTAATCGATTTGCTGAAATTTTATTGCATTTACCCGTAAACTAACAGCGTATTGGCCAACTCAATCATAAATAGTTTCTTCTGTATTATGTGTGTGAAATAAGTGTTTATTTACTGGCTTAAGGGAGTATCTTTCCTTTTCTCTGTCGGGCGCAATATGCATTTCAAATACTTCAAATGTATGCAACTATCATACTGCACATAATTTAATCTGGATATATTTGATTTCTTAGAGCTGATTACTACAGAAAAGACGGAAAAGCTATGCTCCCAGTCAAATGGATGCCACCAGAAGCGTTCCTTGAGGGCCTGTTTAGCTCCAAAACGGACGTTTGGTCATTCGGAATTCTGCTCTGGGAAATTATGAAAATGGGATTTATGCCATACACCGGATGCACTAATAAGGAAGTGATGGATTTGGTTGTGCAAGGCGGGCGACTTGAGCGGCCTGAAAGTTGTCCAGGTAGCTCTTTAGCCGCCTGTATGTTAAGCTGGTTTTAATTACTATACATGTTCTAGCACCAATCTATGGGATAATGGCATCTTGCTGGCATCCTCAACCTGAAGATAGACCGACTTTTGCGATAATCTTAGAAAGGTTGGGATATTGTGCTCAAGATCCCGACGTATTAAACGCCCCACTGCCAACGTTCTACGTAAACACTACCAATGAGAGAGACACTACCGTTATACGGCCCAGCGATTCCAATGACAACTGTTTACAGGTAAAAACAGTGCAGAAATATAGGTATGCTTACTCATATTGAAATCAGCGGTTTATTCAATACCATTAGAATATGGGGTGAGTTTTTTCTTGCATAGTGACGGAATTTTTGAAACTGGAAGCTATAAAAAAAATTGTAGCTTTGTAGGTTGAGCTTGAAGCAATATTTAAAGAGTTGATGAATGCTGCAAAAAACAATTAACTGCAAATACTCTCTCTGTAGGTTGCAAAAAAAAGCAGAGAAAATAGTCCGTCCTCAAAATAACTCAATACATTATTCCCAGTAGCAATGCTCGTAACAGAGGTAAACTTTTATATCGAGGTCCAGCCAATATACTTCAAATATCTAAACACGAACATGAGTGAACCCAACGAAAACACAGAAGAAATAAGCAACAGGGTTCAGGCTGGAAATTGATGTCTTTTCACGCAAGTTTTCATGACTTCCAAGGAAATTAACAGGAAAAAGAGACTAAACGTATACGGAAGAATAATGAAAACTATAGCAACATATGAAAGCCAGACTAGATCTTTAATCGTTGCAACCGAGGTCCGACTAAATATATTCGAAAGCGAACGAGACAGGAAAATATTTGATTCAACTAAGAAAGAAACAATATCGAATAGAGATCGATCAGGAACAACTTTTTCAACCGATTTACTTCCTTCCTTCATCATTCCACCGACTCACTATCTCTTTTAGGTTAGAAGATATTTTCACAATGCAAAAAAACACGCTCGATATATTAGTTTTTCCATAAAATTAGGCTGCGTAAAGTCTATAAAAAAATATTCAGATTTATTCATGTATTGCACGGACAGCGCCAGCAGATAAAAATATATCGGTCGTTGCTTCCTTGCAAAATTTATCATTTTCTCATTAACCGTTTCGCAGGTCCATCTGCGATTATAAGATAACACAAAAAAAGGAAAATGTCCCGGGAAAGTGATGCAACACTAGCTGAATCGAGTAGAAAATCACTCAGATTGTCCCAAAACAATCGACAATAGAAACTAAGCTGCAGGCAATTAAATGCTATATAAGTTTGCTAAGATATAAAACTTTTCTTTAAAGCGACCAGTAGGACATTTGCGCTTTGCGTAAATTGACCGCATCCCATTTTTTGACCCAATAAACTTTGCATAGATTTTACCAGTTAGATATCTAATAAAATTAAGTACTTAAAAACATAGAACGACTCGAAACCAATTCTTCATACGGTCTACAAATAAAGTAGAAGGTTCTAAAAATGTGCGGTTCTCTAGGTATTACCATATTCGACGGATTATTTGATCCCCGACCATCCAAATCGAACTAATCCGGACGCCATGGAGTCGACGTCGTCCGTGGAAAAACTGATTCCAGATTCGTCGCACAATCATTGGGAAACCTCGTTTATAATGCCGAATTCAAAGTCTACACAGCCGCTACTTCAGGACAGTAATAAAGATGAGGAAACCAATCATACAGTAAGCATTAATAATCAATGTTCGTAGACGATGATGTGTACACATTATGTAAACAAGTTTAGACTATCTGTAGACACGCGCTTTACATTAATTTCACCTTCATATTGCTCAGGTAGAGAACATGGCAAACATAATGCCTGCCTTAACACAACGGAATACAAAATAAAATAATTAAGCAAAGAAGATTTTAAAGCGGTTAAAATTGGCATGAGTCTACTGAAGGGACATCATTCGAGAGAATCGATTGGTATACCTAGAGAAAACATTTTTAGAATTCTTGCAACATTTGCAATTAAGTATGAACGATTGGTTTGAAATCGTGGATTGTTTTAAGAAATATTTTTGATGAAAAAACTCTTCCATTTGTACAGTGTGCCCAAGATTAAAAGAGCCAGTATGGGGTTATCGAAAACCTTAAATAATACGAAGTTGTTGGGCAATTAAATGACAATGATTTAAAACTTTCGCTATATTTTTTGCTTTCATGTATTAATTATTTCAAATATATCAATTTAATCTTTAAAGTAATACGGCGCAGAATTTGTGAATAAACAAAAATACAGTTGGAGATTGTTTCCTGAAAACAAAACGCCAAAGTATAACACCGGTAATTATGCCACTTACACGCTAATTTAAAGTTTTTATAAGACATTGTAGTCGGTTTTCCTCCACCATATTAACAGCAATAAATAATAATATTGGAATTCAAACAGTTCAAAGAAGTTGCTCAACTTTTTCTAATTTAGTCAACCTCGTGTCATTTAAGATTTCGGATATTTCCAAAAAATTTCGAGAACCTTAAAAACGATAAGTTCCCTATTTATCAATACCAACACACATAGTTTTTAACTCAAACTTAAACAATTCTACACCGTTTTACTTTAATGCATGCTGTTACTGAGTAAAGCTCACTAACTTTTCTAAGATTTTTATCTTTCTGTAGGCTGGCAAGTTATATCTGAAAGGAAATGCAACCAACGTTGAATCTGGAGTGGCGCTGGACCCTCGATTATTAATGGTGCCAAAACCAACCACAAAAAGATACCCCTTTGGGGAGGAAAATGGAGTGGTTCAGAACGGAGGCTATACCATTAAGTATTTTGGAAAAAAAGACGAAGAAATTCATTGCTAGATATTTTTGTATTCATTATTATTGATATTGATGGCAGTAGTGGACGGTGGACAAAACTGATGACTTGAAGAGTTACTTTGATTTATTCTTAATGGGAAATTGTGATGAATGAGTTTCGACAAGGACTTCTTGTGTACTTTCCATTGACATTTGATTAACTTTAGGTAACTCGTGTTGTTTAACCCAAGTGTCTGCAGATAAATTACTGAGTGTTACAGCACCTGAAATAGCGTTAATCAATTTTTGCCTTTTGTTAAGGTTGTGTATTAAAACGAAATTCGACGTTATTCACTATGTAAAACCAAAGTTCACCAATACCGACTAATCTAAATCTGATAGAGCACTGATAAAACTAAACAATTTGGTTGCAAAAGGACTTAATCGAAAATCTGTTGACGTCTTCTAAACGATTTTTAAACTCCGGACTCCAATTATCGCTTATATATTGTGCTCCCTTTACATCCGACCTTGCTTAGATTACAAGCTACAAAGTTTCAAGAACGTTTTCTTTTCTTTAGTATGAAGTACATCCTGCTAAGTGTTTTACACGCATCGGAGAAGTCGAATCCACGCTATATTTTCGCAAAATAAATTTTGTATGAAAACGCTAAAAATACAAAAGAATAAAAAAGTGTCTTAATCGATCAAACAATTGCATCGCTTACTAAAACATGTTCATAGTTGCACAAAAATGTGGACCCTACAAAGAAAAAAACAAACATATTCCGGCTGAAGAACAAATGAATGAAAATATTAGGCATGTTAGATAAAGTAAAGACAACAACTATGTACAAAAATCAGATTAAGTCCTTTAGAATGAATTATTTTGGCTTGTTTTTAAGTCATAGAATAATGCAGGGTGTTTTGTATTTGTTCTCCCAAAAGTGAATGAATATATAGGATATAAACGCGGTGATATCATGTCCTGTTGGTACCACAGTGAGTGCTTTTCACAAGCACCCCCTTTTGGCCAGCGTTAAAGCGTGGCTCAAATTTATTCAGATAAACACAGCGAAAATTACTATAATATTCTATAAGATTAAGATTTAAGTATGTAAATATCGATATACTAAATTACATATGTGAATGTAAGTCTCAGTAGGATTATTGATCCACTTTTTAGGTATAATTAGTGTGCGCGACTAGAGATATTTTTCATATCCAGGCGCTTTTCAAGACGGTCTCGCCTTTTACGCTTAGTCAGTAAAACAGGTCAAACCGATTCGGAATGACCGGTGATTGATTTGCGCTAAAATTATCATTAAAAATAAGTGTGGAACAACTGGAATCACAAACATTTTATCGTAATTTGAAGGTTTGGATGCCCACGTTTTGAAATTTCAAATTTATCGTTTTATTTTCGAAGTTTTGTTACGTTTCTACAACACTAATAAGCCCGGGCGTTCAAAGTTTGTTAAATATTCACGAAAATTCTTACTTAAAATATTTTTAAAAGTTTTGCTGGCTTTAGTTGTAAATCACTACACTTTTAAAGACAAGATATTCGTTATAGTATAGAGATATTGTAACAAAACAACTCCAAAGAAAGGAAAAGAGAAGTTGACATGTGGTATAAAAGCATATGTGCTCAATATAATTTTCTAATTTAAAACTGTTTTATCATGAAACAGTGAGGTATACTTAGGGTAGGTATATATGTTTTGTGAAAATGTTAAATATCGATAATTGATCTATTTTTCGTATTTAAAATATGAATTAATGAACTGGAACTGATTTATTATCACTCAGGCGAACAAGGCAAACCACCTATGTTGCACAGAAAAGTTTTATATAATTAGTTATCGAAGACATAGACTATTTTAGGGTTGTTATACAGGGTTGTTTTAGGTAGAGTTAATTGAGGAATGTGATATTGGTAACCCTGTATAGTTAATATGTATTTTATATGTGTTAAATTTTAATAGCAAATATTTAATTAAATAGTTGTCATTAAATAGAGTTGCTCAATATCTTTTAGATATTGCAACTTCCGTTTGGCTTGCTAAATAAGGACTTGCAAACTTTAACGCGACAGTGTGGATCGAACCAAAATTTAAACTTTTTCTATCCTTAAGCTGCCTGACAAGTCCAGTATGGAAAAATTAATAAGCATTTCTCTATCATCTTCTAATTATTTGCGCTTTCATATAAACAAAACATTTTTGTGCCATAAATGACGGCTCAATAAACTAAAAAAAATATATAATAAAAGCTCCAGTGACTTTTCTCACTACAGTTCTACGTATTAAAGGTCTCAATCGAAATTGATGGATGGCGCAAAAGAATAATGGTTGTAAGCTCAACGAAACCTTTTCGGAATCAAGTACAATAATCACGTTTAGGTTGTGGGGTACATAGTATGTTGCTTTACGCGCTTCTAAATGACATTTACCATTGTTAACTTTTTTACAAGTTATTAAATTTTTGATTTTGTTTATATCTCCTGCAAAAATATAGAAAATTTGGTCAGTATGTACGCGTCCATTATTCTTTTTTATACGTTGTTTTAATATGGTGATTTACGAAACCAAAACTTCTATCTTTTTGTTAAGCTGAACAAATGCTTTAAAGATACAACAAACGTATAGAAAGTGTAAATATTACCCATTAAAAGATAAGTCTATTTTAAGAGAATAATGGAATGTTAAGATTAATCGGAACTTTTGCGTTACATCTTAAATTGGATTTGCCTATAGAAACGGGTGCTAATATTACTGTTTTAAAACATGCGGGTACAAAAAAAATAATTATTATTTAAGTAATGCTTATTTTCTTTACAATAAATTAGCAAGTTGCTAAAGTCCGCACTCGAAAATAAGTGGGGCGTTTTAAAGCTCTGCATATAAAACTCTGGTTTATAGCAATATCCAATTTAAGTTCTAAAATGAAAAATCCTCTACCACATAGTAAAATAAACGATAATATAGTTTATTCTTTGCATTTTACCATAA